ACACGGAAGAAGCAAGAAGAAGCCCAGAACAAAGGGTGGCTCCCACTTTTGTCAGTTTTACAAAGATACCCACAACACCCCTAAAATTACATGATGGATACATCACAAATACATCACACGTTAGGAGGCTCTGGCGACAGAAACCTGAGCATCAGGGCTTGCCCCCCCTTCCATTGCACTCCACCATACACCCATCAAGTGATGCAAAAGAGATATTTACATGTCCCTGTTTCCCAGCCAAGTTCATCACACCATTTTGTCTTGAGCTGGGTTTTCTATTGTCTCTGGAATAGCTACCTGTCTGGCACTTGGGTATCAGGATCCCAGAGATTATCACTCAGGCAGAGGGGCTGCTGAGTAACAAGGCTCACACTTTAGGGATTATGGCTGCCCTCACTCATGTCCCAAGCTCCCCACTTGGTAGCCATTTCCTTCCCGAACAGAACAATGTTGGAAATTGTGTGGTGTCAGCGTGTTATGTGGTGCTTTGAGAAGACATTGTGTGTGTGTGTGTGAACAAAGAGAGGGGTGCACACTGCATGCTAGAGGGGCAACCCCCCCAATCATTATTTAAAAAATCCTGTAACAATGTCCCAACAGTTCTTCAAAAGGGAAGCACATGAACAAGACTAGTCCAACACTCCTCCTCCTTCTCTTGTCCAGCAACAGATAGGATCAGATGCTCTGCAATCAACCAACCAGGTTGGTTTGTCTCCACCCATCTACTCCATTGGTGATGGAGTGCTTTCCATGCAGACCAAAAACTTGAAAAATAACAGCAACCATCCAATTGCAGCTTCCTCTCCCAGCTCCACAGAACCAGAAGAGGCAAGTGCCATTAATGTGGCCATTCATTTGTTCTCTAGGGTGACTTTATTTAAAGTTGCTAAGGCAGTGGAGATTTATCCCCTCACTTGCATTCCCTACACCAGGCTTCCTCAACCTCCAGATGTTTTTGGCCTACACCAGCGTGGTGTAAGTGCGGTGGACTCCTAATCTGGTGAACCGGGTTTAATTCCTCGCTCCTCCATATGCAGCTGCTGGGTGACCTTGGGCTAGTCACGCTTCTCTGAAGTCTCTCAGCCCCACTCACCTCAGAGTGTTTGTTGTGGGGAAGGAAGGGAAAGGAGATCGTTAGCCGCTTTGAGACTCCTTAAGGGGAGTGAAAGGCAGGATATCAAGTCCAAGCTCTCCTTCTCTTCTTCTTCATGATCGCTAGCTAGCAGGACCAGTGGTCAGGGATGTTGGGAATTGTAGTCTCAAAACATCTGGAGGGCCGAGGTTGAGGAAGCCTGCCCTACACTATAAGAGCATGCAAAGAGCCCTGTAGGATCAGGCCAAAAGCCCAACTGGTCTGACCTCCTCTCCTCACAGTACCCAACCAGATTTCTCTGGCAAGTTCATAAACAGGACCTGAGTGCAACTCTCCCCATTTGTGATTCCCAACAACTGGTTTTCAGAGGCACATTGACTCTGGCAGGGGAGATCAGACATGGCCCTTGTTGCCTGTGGCCATAGACAGCTTGATCCTCTTTTAAAACCATCCAAGTGGGTGGTCATTGCTACATCTTTGGGGAAATGAATTCCATAGTTTATGCCTCATGTGAAGTAGTACTTTCTTTTGTCCATTCCAAGTCTTCCAGCTCCCAGCTTCATTGTGTGTCCCTGATTTCTACTATAATGAGAGGTTGGGGGGGGAAATCTATTTTCTTTCTTCACACCACGCATAATACTATACACCTCCATCCCGTCCCCACTTGCTCGGCTTTTCTCCACACTAAAAAGCCCCAGATATTGTAACCTTTCCTCATAGGGGAGTTGCTCCAACTCATTGATCATCTCGGTTGCCCTTTTCCTGAATCATTTCAGAAAGGTTCCTTTCACTGCCGGCTTTTGAGGTGAGGCAAAGCAAAACTGTGCACAGAGTATTCCAAGGGTACAGGTTTGTCTAAGGGCATGATGATACCTGTTCTTAAACTAAGGGCACCACCCTCCCTTCCCCACTCTTGCAGGGACACCCCAGTCCCTCCTATGCAAGGAAATCCCTTTCCAGGGAATGTGAAACTTTCCATCCTTTCTGCATCCCTGGGGTGCAGAGGCAGCAAGTCAACCTCAAAACTGAGGGTTCCCAGGGCACAGCGCACACATGTGATGAAGGCAGCTCAACCCCCTAGAGTTGGCACACCTGCTGCGGTGTTAGTTACTGAAACTTGCTCACACGGCAATGAATTATGTCCCATTGATCCTATACAATGCCGTATAGTTGTTAGAGTGCTGGACTAGGACATGGCAGATATACAGCTGCAAATAAAACATTTTAAGTATGTTGTAAAGTGCATTATAGGATGCGGGTGGCACTGTGGGTTAAACCACAGAGCCTAAGACTTGCCGATCAGAAGGTTGGCGGTTCGAATCCCTGCGACGGGGTGAGCTCCCGTTGCTTGGTCCCTGCTCCTGCCAACCTAGCAGTTCAAAAGCACGTCAAAGTGCAAGTAGATAAATAGGTACTGCTCCAGCGGGAAGGTAAACGGTGTTTCCGTGTGCTGCTCTGGTTCACCAGAAGCGGCTTAGTCATGCTGGCCACATGACCCGGAAGCTGTACACCGGCTCCCTCGGCCAATAAAGCGAGATGAGTGCCGCAACCCCAGAGTCGGTCACGACTGGACCTAATGGTCAGGGGTCCCTTTACCTTTACTAAAGTGCATTATACAAATGTGACACTAGATGGTGGTGGTGAGTTATGGCAAATTCAATATATTTTTCAAAACTTTTTTTTTTATTTAAAAAAGCATATTCACAGGGTTGTTGTTTTTTAATATGTGTCTAGATTCCACCCAGGATTCAAATTCCCACTCAGCTACGAATGTCACTGGGTGACCTTGGACTAATTACTTACTCTCAGCTTAACCTACCTCAGAGGGTTGTTGTTCTGAAGATAATATGGAGATTGTCAGAGGCATCCTCACCACCTTGAAATCCTTGGAGGAACATTGGGATATATATGCCACACACAAAAATAGAATGAAATAAAATCTTGAGACCTGAAGCAGGACCTGTCTTTATTATTGTCATTCTGTTCCTCTGAAAAGTGGTGATGCAATATAAATGATAGGTTTTGGTTTTCCCTGGAGAAATAAAAGCGAGTGTCTAATTGTCCCTTGTCTGAATTCCCCCCCCTGCCCTCGCTTCCTGAGTGACCCACACAAGCTGCGACGGCAGACACCAGCTTTAATTTATGCCACCGTTTCTCTTCTCCTCCTGTTGGCATTCTGATGTTAGACGTAATAAGTCATCCAGGAGCTGTATTATAACGGTTTCTCGTCAGAAAAAAGCTCTAGGGAGTAATAAGCATTCCACCAGTGGTTATGAACAGAACTTCACAGCATAGCAACACACTACAGAGGGGATTCTGTATATTTTGCTAACAACCTCTGATTTTTTAAACAAAGGTTCATTAAATGTCAAATCTACAAAAAAGCCTCTAGCGTTCCTTTCATTAGAGATTTGGGGACAGGGAGGAAATAGTTCTTTGCTGCTGCTTCTTTTTTTCCTCCAAGCTGCACAGCATCTGCATAGTTTTATGTAGTCCTAGTGTTTTAATTCTTAATAAATCAGGTTTTTTTGCGCAGGCAATTTCTTTCAGCGCTTGGCCAGTGAGCAGAAAACACTTCCCTGGAGATGGGGCAGAATGGAGGGAGGACAAGTATTAGCAAGTCATATTTCTCTCACAATTTAGGAACATTGTTTAGACAGAGAGTGAGGAACCTTTTCCAGCCCCGAGGGCCGCATCGCATCATAGGCAAATCCTCTGGGGGCCACATGCCCATTGGGTGGGGGGGGGAGAGGCAAAAGTGGGCAGAGCACTGGATGTGGCCCTTATCTTTGTACAGTGTGCTCTATTCCAGGTGCACAAACAAACAGCCACAAACACTGCACATTGCTCCATCATCTGTCCATGCAAGCTATCATAGTTCAAAGACACATTCCAGCCAGGCAAAAGCACTTCCAAATCACACAGAGCAGAACTACTGATAGGGGTAGCCTGGGGAGAATTCTAAGGGCCAGATAGGGAGACCCAGAGGAATGCATCTGGCCCCAAGCTCGAGATTGCCCACCCCTTCTTTACACTTAAGAGCACTATCACATTTTTAATAAGCAAAGCACAGCAAAGAAAGCAAAGAGGAGCAGGGATACTCTGCTATGCCATGTTCTCTCTGGCACATTATTTCTTATGCGCAGTGTCGTAGCAAAGTCAGGTGGTACCCGGTGCAGAAAATTTATTGTCACCCCACCACCACCACACACACCTTGAAATCCAGTTGGACTCCCAAGAGACTGTGTTCTACTCACAGTATAAGAAGACTGGCTGACTGTGATCTACCCATTGTCATTGCCAGGAGTTGTTGAGCATTTTTTAGGGAAGGATTGACCAAAGTTGTTGAGTTTTTGGGGGGGTTACAGGGTTTGAGTCCTGAGTTGAAGGAGCTTCTCTTCTTCCCTCCACCCTCTGCTTGTTTGCTCACCTGCCTCCTTCCCTCCTCTCCCTGCATGCCTCCTACAGCAGCCCGGGAGCACAGGGCTGTCAAAATGAAGCACACCGAATGTCACCCCCCCCCTTGGAGATGACAACCCACCACCACCACACCACCTTGCTCCGCCCCTGCTTATGCAGACTTCTGGCCTGCAGACTGATACTTCTTCTGCACCCCTTGGCCTCATGCCTTTCCATTGGTTCAGTGTGGTGGGTTGGGAGTCACTGAGCTCCTCAGGCCTAGCAGAGGTTGCCTGCCAGGGTTCTAGCTCCATGAACACTGGTGCTGTGTGTCTGATCCTGCCCACTGGTCCCCAGTTTAGCACCTCCTCAATCACCAGCATCAGGCTCAGCATCAGGTCTGGCTCCTTAGCCAGCAACTCTTCAACCTCAGACTCAGTGTTTTAATTGCAGTTGGAGGTCATGACAAACATTAACCCTTTTCACCTGGTTGGAACCACCTCCTCTGAATAACATTGTCTCATTCCCCCCAAATCCATGCATTTATTAAGCCTGTACGCATGGTGTTCTCCATTTAGGTGTTAGTGAGTCATGTTTGTGAAGATCTACTGACTATAACAGCACAGTCCACTTCATGTACTCTCTGTCTTGGTTTAGCGGGGACAAGTCCTGTTCCTGGGAAATATTTGTTCCTTTTCTCCCCTGTTTTCTTTTCTTTGGGGAAATTTGGAGAAAGCATATCTCTTGTTGTAGACACATCTGATGTTTTCCTCCCTTGTGGCTGGGCAAGAACTACCTATCCAGAAGACAGACAATGCGGAAAGCACATGAGTCATAACTCTCCCAAAATAAGGATAACCAGATCCATTGTTGGATTAAAATTATATTATGCATTACATTTTTTAAAAGAAAGCTTTTATGCTCAGTTGATGCAAGTCAGTTCAGGACAAGCTCTTGCAAATAAAATGAATACAGAGTTGTACAGCGGGGAATGTGGGTGGGAAAGCAGTGACCATTTCTGTTCATCAAGTAGGAGAGGTTGTCTCTGAACTTCTGGGAAGAAATAAAATTACATTTAAAATTCTGCTGTCCCTATGTGAAAACTTTTTCTTTCTTTTTTTGGTATTCTGAGCTGGAGAAGAGCTTTGAAGTCTGTAATACTTATTTTATCTTTGAGGTGTGCATTGTGAGCTGCATATTTAAAACTCAGCAACATGATTAGCTAGAATGTTTGTGAACATTCTGTGACATCAGAGCAACTCGACCAATGGGAGCATAACAACCAAATGGTCAGTTTTTCATAACATGCACCTATCTATACCATGGACTAAGCATAGTTAGAAGCTGAATTTAAGACAAATAAGCAAGTTCATTATTTTCAACCAGCCCTGCAAATAGAGACTGCCAGTAGCGATTGGGATCTACTCACTACATTCCAGCAGTTAACCAGTGTTGTTTTTCTACTACTATGAAAGTTGGGTGCAATAATTTAACCCACCCACCTAAAAAAAAGAAGAAGAAGAAGAAGAAAAAAATACCTCTTGCCATTGTACACTCCAATGAAATAAAATGTCCCTGGCCAGAGAGAGTCAAATCGGCCCTTTCATGAATTTTGATTGCCATGGCAACAGTGACACACTCCATTTAGCACTGGAACTCTCGCCACAACAGAAGGTGAGATAGAGTAGAGTGGAAGTGGTTCCCATGGGCTGTCTCTATGCACACCAAGCTAGGCCACTCACAAAACAATGTGGTCGGATCCTCAGATGCTTCCCCCTCCCACTTTCAAAACAAGAAGGTCCTTGTAATCAGCTCAGTCATACTATAACCTGAGAGACCAGGGTTCAAATTCCCACTGGGCCACATGAAACCCTCTGAGTGACCTTGGGCCCATCAGTGTCTCTCTCAGCCTAACCTGCCTCGCGGGATTGTTGCAGGAATTAACTGAAGAAGCCGGGGGGGGGGGACCATGCGCACCACTCGCATCCACTACGGAGGGAAAAGCAGGATATAAATGCAATAAACGAACAAGTAGACATTTATGGCTGGATTAACCACTGTGATAAGTACTGTTGTACGGACTCCAATCTCTGAGTGGCAAGAGACTCCATGGCTACCTAGGCTCACCCAGGGTTCAGTTTCCATGGAATGAAGGTCAATGGAAACTATGGTTTCTTTGGTATGTATGGCTTCATTTACACACATATACAACCTGAGCATAAGATGGAGGGGTTCACAGCATCGACACCCCAATAGATCTTGCCTCTCTATTAGTTTTCCAGAACATAACCAAGCTCAGCTTTGGGTCCAGCACAGAGCACAACTTGCCTCTGTTTCTCCAGCTTCTAACATCAGCCAAACGCTCAAACACAAAACTCTGGCTATTGCTCTTCTGCTTCACAAGGTGATGTTAGGTGAAGTGGGAGGGGTACCTGTGATTGTCTCTATGGCAACAGGGAAACTTCTTTTGACATGTAAATGGAAGTACTTAACTGGCTGGCTGAAGTCATTGCTTTAACAAAAGAACTGCTTGGGTTGCTTTTCTCATGTATATTCTAGCCCAACATATACAGATTTGGAGAGGTGTCATCGACAGGTGTTACCTAAGAACATAAGAAGGGCCTTCTGCATCAGGGCAGCATCCTCTTCTCAGCTTGTAGGCAACCCACAAGCAAGGCCAAAGCATTCTCCCCTCCTGTGGTCTCCAACAAGTGGTATTCAGAAGCACCACTGTCTTCAACTGTGAAGGCAGAGAAAAGAATAGCCACAATGGTTAGTAGCCATCAATAGCCTTTTCCTCCATGAATTTGTCTAATCCTCGAGCAATGACAAACCTAGACAGCATCTTAAAAAGCAGAGACATCACCTTGACAACAAAGGTCCATATAGTTAAAGCTATGGTTTTCCCAGTAGTGATGTATGGAAGTGAGAGCTGGACCATAAAGAAGGCTGATCACCGAAGAATTGATGCTTTTGAATTATGGTGCTGGAGGAGACTCTTGAGAGTCCCATGGACTGCAAGAAGATCAAACCTATCCATTCTGAAGGAAATCAGCCCTGAGTGCTCACTGGAAGGACAGATCGTGAAGCTGAGGCTCCAATACTTTGGCCACCTCATGAGAAGAGAAGACTCCCTGGAAAAGACCCTGATGTTGGGGAAGATGGAGGGCACAAGGAGAAGGGGATGACAGAGGACGAGATGGTTGGACAGTGTTCTGGAAGCTACCAGCATGAGTTTGACCAAACTGCAGGAGGCAGTGGAAGACAGGAGTGCCTGGCATGCTCTGGTCCATGGGGTCAGGAAGAGTCAGACATGACTAAACAACAACAAATGGTGGTTATCACTACCTTCTGTGGGAGTGAGTTCCATAGTTTAACTATGCGCTGAGCTAAGAAGTATTTTCTTTCATCTGTCCCAAATCTTCCAAGAGTTTCATTGGATGTCCATGAGTTCTATAATTATCAGAGGGGTGGAAGGACTTTTCTCCATCCAATTTCTACATGCCAGACATATGTAATTTTATAAACTTCTACCATGTCACTCATCATGTTCTGACCACCCAATTGCTTTTGGACCTCCCAGATCTCCACTGATACCATGAACTTTTATCTCAGACAGTTTTGTCAATGAGTTCTAGTGTTAAGAGACTTTCAGCCTTTGCTGGAAATTTTTGGAAGATACGAGGCTGATTGTAAGTGGGGTGCTAGTGTTAGGATTCCTGCTCCGTATTTGCAGTCATGGGATTGTTGTCTATCACATGACGGTGTATGTTTTCATTCCACAGTGTGGGAAGTGACAGGGACATGATGTTTTGGAATTACTATGTTCCGTGAGGTAGGACTATTGAACTTTGTTCTTTCTCTCTTTGCTGCCTGATGAGAAAGAGAAAGGAGCTAAGTCAGAATGCTCCAAGTGTATTATATGTAAATAAAGTAGCCAAAATGCTGAGCTTTTGAGTCTGTTACACGAACTGCCAATACTCTGCAGACCCGTAAGTGTGCTGATGTTTCTTGGTATCAGTCGTTGTGATGTTCGAGCTGAAGAAAGCTTTTGAAGCTCCCAAACGATTGACCAGGAGGGAGAGAACATGCCAGTCGGGCATGTGTCTCTACCAGGGTCCTACATGAGAGTAGGATGATCCTAACAGCTAGATCTCTGTAGCCAGTAGGTGGTGGCAACAGGGTCGCTCCTCTGGTCTTGCAACACCATTAAACACTGAGGAAGAGGGGACATTTGTTGGAGCAAGTTGCTCACTTGGAAGTATTTGTGGACCTGAAGATCCTGATCTGTCTGCTGCCTTCTGCATAGAATCCAGAATTGGACCAGAAAAAGACAAGCCTAGAGCAGAGAAAGTCAGCTGGGGTGTAATACATAATACTAGTGGGAAGTCAGATGTAATATACCACCCCCACCCCAAATTGGGATGACTTCTTTAGGTGACTTCCCTTGAAGTTTTCAAGCAATGCGGTATCCAAGGGGGATGTTTTACTCTGTTTTCTAATTATATATATACTCCCTTTCTGTACTTCCAAAAATACCTTGCTTGGTCACATGGTCCTGGAAGGAAGCACGCCTGGGAGGCTGCAGATACAGCTGTTCAATGAGCATTCAAGGTATTTTTGAAAGTGCAGAATCAAAGAAAGAAAAACAAAGTCTCATTTGGTTCTTTTCTACAGCTTCCCTGCATTTCTTCTGGGAATGCATTTCCCTCTGCTCCTCCAAAAAAGAATAAACTGGGAAAAGTCACTCCCTTTTCCCATCCAAATTGGGTTTCCAATTATTGTCCCCTCCCCCTGCAAATGGTCAAAAAAACTTAAAGCAAGATGTTCCTACCAGCATTAATGAGAACCAATAATCTCCTAAAGTGGAAGTCCTAACCCTATCTACTTAGAATTAAGTCCTATTGGACTCAATGGCCAGATAAATGGATTGGGATGGCAGTCTCTCTGCAAACCTTGGGAGTAAGTCCCATTGAACTGAATGAGACTTACTTCTGAGTACATGTGGTTACGATTGCATTGCAACTATTTCTTTGGTCATTATTCCTTCAAGTCTTACTCATCTAATTTTCATTTCAAAGAAATGTTGAAAAGCAACTGATGTGCAGTCGCAAATTTAAAAAACACATATCGGTAAACATTTCTTCAGTGCTGTTTATCAACCACATCCACATCAAAATTTTAGTCTTAAATCATTGACATGAGTTGCAAGACACTAGCAAGTGAAAGGGGGTTTCAAATCAATTTGCTTTCTTTTCTCCTTAGCCTCTCTAGCATATAAGCCAGTATTCTGATGAGCTGTGGTTAATATACAAACTAAAATGCGGTAGACAAACGTCTCCACCTAGAGCCCACTAAGGGAAAATAAACCCTATAATTGCTTTACTGAAAGGCAGCTGAGCTTTGCAAGCCAAAAGGGCTTTCACTGGGCATCCGGACTGAAATTCTTCTGTGGTACCTCGGGTTAAGAACTTAATTCGTTCTGAAGGTCTGTTCTTAACCTGAAACTGTTCTTAACCTGAAGCACCACTTTAGCTAATGGGGCCTCCTGCTGTTGTCACGCTGCCGCCACGCGAATTCTGTTCTCATCCTGAAGAAAAGTTCTTAACCCAAGGTACTATTTCTGGGTTAGCTGAGTCTGTAACCTGAAGCGTTTGTAACTTGAAGTGATTGTAACCTGAGGTACCACTGTTTTGAGAACAATTTCACAGAAGTTGAAATCTGCACTGATTGCTTGCCTTGCAGGATGAAAGACAAGGAAGTTCTACAGAGAGTAAAAAACAACAATGAGCTGCCTCTTATTTACTATATATTGTGGAAAGTTCTTTGTCTGTCTGTCCATCTCTCTGTTCTCCGTAGGTTTGACCACCTCTTGGAAATCAAGATGGTGGACCAAAGTGTAACTTTAGTGTGTCTTTGCCCATTTGGGGCCATAGGTTCAGCTGCCTCTTGAGATATTGCCACCAAATTCAACTCATGGGTTCCCAAAATGGAGCTGTGGGGAAGGAAGCCAACCCTGCGCCAGGTCTTTGGGGCCTGGCTCCAGTGTGCAAGGGAGCTACAGAAGCAGCTTCTTTGTACGAAGCCCAATACCACCAGCCAGCTGCAACCCCGCTCCTGGGAAACTTCAATATTCCAGAGAGAAATAATAGAATGCAGTAACAAAGTATAATCAATAATGTACAATTTATTGTTGACATGGGAAACTAAGGATGAAGAGGTCAAATGTGTCATGATAAAGTGGGCAAAAGACATGGGACATAACATCCAAATTTCAGAATGGGATTTTTTTTTGGAGGGGGGTATTTACTGCTTGTACATTGATAAAAGAAAATTATATGAAAATGATGCATGGGTGGTACTTAACACCAGTTAAATTAGCACAAATGTATAAATCAAGAGAGAGAAAATGCTGGAAATGTAAAGAAGTAGAAAGTATGTTTTATCATATGTGGTGGCAATGTAAAGTTATAAAAAAACTTTTGGGAAATGATATATAATGAACTGAAAAAAATGTTTAAAATAACTTTTGTTTAAAAGCCTGAAGCCTTTTTATTAGGAATTATAGGAAAGAAGATATATATATCTTCATGTATGTGATGACAGCCACATGAATATTGATAGCCCAATGCTGGAAAGAGGAT